CTCCTTCTGCTCCTCATCTTCCTGCTCCTGCTCCTCCTCTTCCTGCTCCTGCTCCTGCTCCTGCTCCTGCTCCTGCTCTTGCTCTTGCTCCTGCTCCTCCTCTTCCTGCTCCTGCTCCTGCTCCTGCTCTTGCTCCTGCTCCTGCTCCTGCTCCTGCTCCTCCGGGTCACCGTCAAGCTTCCAAGGTTGATGTTGGTCCAGTCATTGGTCAGCATGTTCTCGAAACGATCGCCCAGCTCCCACATCTTTCAGCGCTGTCTCACTTCCCTCCAATTGCAGCAGGAGACTTTCACCTTGTCTGTCTTGTCGGGGAAATCACGCTTGCTGTTGTGTAGAATCATCAAAACCATCCTCCTCTACCACCACCGCCAACCCCTCCATCCCCTCCACCCCCTCCCCTCCACCCATAGGCTCCCCAGCGCAAGCTCGTCTCATCTTCTGCATCACCTCACTCTTGGGCAGACGGCGTGTGGATTGTTCAGCAGCACCTCCTCCTCGTACATGTAGGCTGTGTTGAGGTTTTCGATCTCTTCCTCCAATTCCGGATCCAGTCGTGCCTATCTCACCATGCAGGGTAAGTGAGAGGCAGAGAGCATGGTCTCCTGCTCGCCTTGCTCGTCTTTCCACGCTGAAATGGATCGTAGAGGTTGGACGAGTGAAGTTCCGAGCTCTGGGTGCTACTCTCTCCTCCTCGGAGGGCGAGAGGTCTTGGGACAGGACGAAGGAGTGAAGGAAGGAGAGCAGGAGGGAGATGACAAGGGGGATGACAAGGGAGAGGTCCTCGGAGACGGGGATAGAGGTCCGATGAATCGAATGCATGTGGGAGGATGCAGAACAAGGAGGTGAAGAAGAGACGACGACAGAACGAGAGCAGAGCTCCGTGAATCATTCAGAACGAGAGCACGCTACGGCGATGACTTGCCGATCACTTGCTCTGTCCCTGTCTCTGTCCCTGTCCCTGTCCCTGTCCCTGTCCCTGTCCCTGTCCCTGTCCCTGTCCCTGTCCCTGTCCCTAGCTCCCCTTCCCCTTTCCCTGCTGCTTTCCCTGGGGAAATTTTTCCTGGTCTGCCTTCACCCACCCCTGGCAAAGAGTTTTTTGAAAGTGCGAATTTCATGGCGTGTGGGGTCGGCGGGGACCGCTTGCAGGGAGCGACGCGCTCCTGCTCCTTGCTCCTGCTCCGACCTGCGCTCTCCTCCCAATGCCTCCTCCTCCTCATCTCTCTCCTCCTTTCTTCCTCCTCCTCCCCGTCGTCCTCCTCGGGTCCTGTGCATGACCACGGCCTTAGTGGTGGAATCACCATACGCTCCGGTCGAGGTATGGTGTTGTTGCTGAGAGGAGGCGGAGACGAGCAGCAGGCTTGGACGGAAGAGGATGAGATGCAGGTATATGATGTCTGACCTCCTGCTCCTGCTCCTGCTCCTGCTCCTGCTCCTGCTCCTGCTCCTGCTCCTGCTCCTGATTCTCCCGTTCCCGCTGCTCCTACTGCTCCTACTGCTCCTACTGCTCCTGCTCCTACAGTACCAGCCGATATTCCTTCTGAGAAGTTTCTGTTAGTTTGAGAGCTTCATCCAACCGATCCTGGAGAAGATCTCCCGGCGATCAAAGCGGAGGGAGGGAGGCGAGGAGGGTCAGGAGGAAGGAGGAGGAGGGGTTGACGACGACGACGACGAGGCGAGCGAGGACGCAGCTCATTCGTTCATGAAGCAGAGCGACAGGAATGTAGGTCTTCCCTTGCCACCCGGTGGGTCTTCACACATGTTGACAGGTCAAGGATTGGATAGACAGTCAGAAACGGATTCCCTTTCCCGAGCCTGACTTTGTTAGCTCAACGCGTGAGGGTCGGGGGTTCCTGACGCGTCCCTTGTGTAAAGGACGATGTGCCGATTGTGGAGCCAGTCTTGGATCCGAGCTATGAGCCCTTCTTTGACGCTTGCGATTTGGGTAGGAGCTGAAGATGATATGAATGTGCATCTATGTAGATGTACATGTACATGATGATATCAATATGCATCTGTGTGCATGTACATGTGTGGATGTGGATGATGCTGAATGCTTTACGTTGTGCAGCAAACGAAACAATCGTCAGAGAGTACATTGCTGCAGGCATCGACGTCAACATCCGACATCCTGGAAAGGTCAAAATGTTCCCTCCTCTCCTCTCCCCTTCCCTTCCCTCCATCCCCTCCCTTCTCCTCCCCCCTCCTCGTCGCCTCACCTTGCCTGTCCTCTGCCCTCTCTTCCCTTCTCCTCTCCTCTCCTTCTCCCCTCTGCATTGCTTCTCGCTCATCGTGTTTGTCCTGCAGGTAAACCGATCGGGATTGCACATCGCGAGCTGTAACCGCACTCCGCTATCCTCCCTTCCTGAGTGACCTGGGATTGTCAGCTTCTTCGGAGTGCTTCGGGGTAGCCAAGTAAGAAGTGCTTGCTGCCCAGCGGGGATGAAGAGGGGGAGGGAGAGGAGGAGAGTTGGGGGGGAAGAGAAGGAGAGCACGAGCACGAGCACGAGCACGAGCATGAGCAGGAGGAGAGTTGGGGGGCAGGAGAAGGTAACTTGGATGCGCAGGATACTGTTGGAGGCAGGAGCGGATCCCAACGCCATGGACCAGGTAATGCAGTCCAACAGAAGTAGCAGGGCCAGGAGCAAAGGAAGACAAGAGTCTAGTAGGATAGCCTGATGAGAGGACATATGAAACAGGAGGAGCAGGAGAAGGAGCGGGAGCGGGAGCAGGAGGAGCAGGAGGAGCAGGAGGAGCAGGAGGAGCAGGAGGAGGAGGAGGTTTTGATCGTCGCGAGGCAGACCGGAAGTTTTCCATTGCATTATGCGGCAGAAACTCTCGACCCCGACATGGTACGGCCCGAGGGCCCGAAAACTCCAGCTGAGGTTCTACTCAGGTCGAGCTGCTCCTGGATGCCGGGGCCCATGTCAACGTCACCAACTCGGTGAGTTGTTGATCAACCCTTGCTCTACCACAGCTGATCCTCACGATGTTGGCAGCTGGGCTACACTCCTTTTCGAGTCGCCACCAACTTCTACGAGGCGTGTGAAGGAGGAGGAGGAGGAGGACGAGGAGGAGGGGGAGGAAGAGCTGAATCTTCCTGAGCAGTTGCAGTACGACCCTCAGTTCGAGAAGAACCCTCAGTTCGATCCCAAATATGAGGTGAGGATGGTGTCGAAGAGGAGACGAGGAAGAAGGAAACGGCGAGCAGATTGTAGAGGAAGGGGAACAGAGAAGGGAGTTAATAGAAAGGAGGAGATGGAAGAGGATAGCACAAGAAAGAAAGTGAAGGGCAGGCAGGCAGGCAGGCAGGCAGGCAAGCGGGGAGGGAGGGAGGGAGGGAGGGAGGGAGGGAGGGAGGAGGGAAGGACATTGCGCAGAAGGAGGAGGATGTTTGGTCAAGGGGAGAAACATGTGACGGGGGGAGGGTGGCAGCCTGTGCTGGGGTGGAGGTGGGGACTGATGGGTGTCAACTGCAGGAGAGGATGATGGATCTGCTCTACTTCCCCGGTGACGTCGAACTCTGAGAAGCTCGTGAACTGATTGACTTGCTCAGGCGTCGAGGAATCATTGCGGAACTGGCCAAGTAAGCTTTCTCTCCTCTTCTCCCTCCTTTCTCCCTCCTTTCTCTCTTCTTTCCAGTCCTCACATCCTTCCTTCTCCTTTGCTTCCTCCCTCCCCCCCTCCCCTCCTTCCTTTCTGCTTCGGCCTCCTGGCTTCTTTCTCCCCGCTCCACTCCCCCAAGGTCTCCATCCCCCTTTCCCCTTCCTCTTCGTCCTCCTCCTCCTCCTCCTTTCCTCAGCTTGTCCTTTGCTGCTTTTGTTGACCCTCCACCAGCCGACCCGACCCCTATCCTCAACGTCTCTCGCACGAAGCGCTAAGACGCTTCCTCCGGCTCCGACTTCCACACGAGGATCGCCAAATGTCGCATCCTGAACCTGCAGACATACCTGAGCTCCCACTCGTTCTTCCCATCCCTCTCTCCCCTCCCCTCATCCCTCTCGTCCACCTCCCCCAGCTGGTCTGCACCCTGTCAAGAGCTGCTAGCAGGACTCACTCGCACATGTGGCGGGCCTCACACGCGATGCTGTAGCCGAAGGATCGGCCGACGATGATGTGCCAGGTGGGGCCGATGAGCTGGGAAACATGAGAGGAGGAGGAGGAAGAGTGCAGAGGACCTCCTCGAGTTGAGTCTTGAGGAAGCAAGCAATAAAGTCTTCTCTGAAGGGGAAGAGGAGGGGAGGGGGAGAGATGGGGAGGGGAGCAGAGGAGCGAAGGGGAAAGGGAGAGAGCAGAAGGTCAGTAAGGAAGGGCAGGGGAACGAACAAGGGAGGAAGGAACCAACAGGTGCGCGGGAGCACGGGGAGGGGGAGAGGGAAGGGAAGGATGGATGGAGGGGGAGAGGGAGGCTGTACCTGTAGTCTGGCATGCTCAGATCCATAGCCAGCGCTGTGATGTCGGTGATGTGCTGTAAAGTCTTGGAGCTCATGGTGTGATCCTGCCCGTCAGAGTCGAGGCCGATGGTCTTGAAGGAGGAGAGAAAGTCGGGGGTGAACTCTTCGATCATGTCCAGGAGCCGGAAGCGATCCTCCAGGACATACTTGGCTCGGATCGCTCCTGGAGGTGTGAGGTGAGAAAGGAAGAGGAAGATGGGGGGAGGAGGGATTGGAACAAAAGTGGGAAAAGAGGAGGAGGAGGAGTCAGGAGAAGTTTGATGTAAGGAAGGGAAGGAGGGGGCACGAGGGAGGGACGAACCTTACAAGGAGGAGGGGAGGGTGAGGATGGAGAAGATAGAGGAGAGGGAAAAAGAAGGAAGCAGAGGAGGGGGAGGGGAGAGGAGAGGAGAGGGGAGTGGAAGGGAGAGAGGGGGTTGAGAAGGGGAGGAAAGAGCGTCCAGTACCGATCTTCTTGCCGTACTTGTAGAACTCGATGACTTCATTCTGGTCCCTCTGGAGGCTCTCGAGGTTGGGAGGGAGGGGGTCCAGGGGTATCTCCTCCTCGAATGCCTCGGGCCGTGCGGGGACCTTGTCGGCTACCGAGCCCTGCGGCAGCGTCTCCAGGCACTTGCTGAAAAAGACGCAATTCCTCATCCTCTTCTTCAAGGACTTGACGCGAAACTGAACACGCGGGAGAACAGAGTCAGCTCGCTGTCAAGGACCCAATCCCGTTGCCTTTCCTTTCCTTGATCCTTTTTCTGCCTCCATACCTACCCTGCTGCTGCTGCTGCTGCTGCTGCTCCTCCTCCTCCTCCTCCTCCGCACTTGGTCCTCTGCCTTTCTCTCTGCAGACCTGAAAGATTCCCAGAGCTGGATTATGCCACGGACCAGCCTCCACATGTTGCTTGATCTAAAGAAGAGCAATCAGAAGGTACGGGGATGAGCATGGAAATGAATCGAACAAGTATGAAGTGGGAGAGGTTAAGGAAGAGAATGAATGTTGAGCTGAGAGATGGAGGAGTAGAAGTAGAAGTAGGATCATGATGGAGAGAAGAGGTCGAAGTATCAGTATGAGCAAGAATGATCGAGGACCTTTGACAAAAGGTGAATTTCTCGAATATCTAGAGGGAACTTGTACAAATCTCGTCGAGATGCTTTGACCTGACCAGTCCAAATTTCAGCCACGTTGACAAGAAATGCTCTCCTCCATTATTACCGTCAGCTGCAGAGCCTGCTTGAGGTACATTCGTTCTCTACTTAACCATGAGGCAATGAACAGGAACAGGAGCAGGAGCAGGAGCAGGAGCAGGAGCAGGAGCAGGAGCAAGAGCAGGAGCAAGAATGGAGAGAGGAAGAGGAGAGCGCATAGCTAACTTCAACCTGTCCGTCAAGCAGAAGTCTCCTGTAACGTCCTCCTGGTCCCACTGCTCAACGACTGCGAAGCAGAGTCATCACAATCATCAGGCTGATCATCCTTCACCTCCGCTGCAGACAACATGCGTCGTAGTCCCAGTCCCTGTCACGAGGATGAGACGAGGTAGTGGGCTCGTTCGAGTGACCTTGGAAGAACCATCGGTGAATCTCAGAGTAAGGCCCAGCTATTGCCCAGGGGGGAAGAAAGTCCGGACAGGAGCCGTCTGCGAGGGCAACGTGATGAGTCAACAAGGAAGAAGGGCAGCTATTTCGAGCTCCACCTTCCTTCCTCCTGTTGTGTTGCTGGAACTGACCCTCCATGCTCTCAAACACTCCGTTCGGCCTTTCCTCCCCAGCCAGCATGCGGCTAGCACTCGTCAACAGCTGTGCGGCTCTAGATCTCAGCTCGGGAAGAGCAGTGACGTCCAATCTCCACCTGTTGGATGTTGAAAATCTCCTTCTTCTCCTCCGTCCCTTTCGCTATCTGCAGCAGGAGGAGGCAAAGGACCGTGAGGCAAAGGAGAAGGAGCAACAAGGAACAGAAACGCAGCTCATACCTCCTGGATGACCTCCGGTGCCCCCGCCCAGAAGCTGATCATTTCTCTTCCTTTCTCGCCGTACTGAAGGATCAGCTCGGTGCCATCCACCGTCCTGACGCTGAAGCACTCGGTGACGTCACATACCGGACACGGCGAGTGGGCAGGACCTTGTATCATCTGTGCTCCTCCAAGTCGAGAAGTCTACCCTTGACCAGGTCCTCATGAACTCCTCGACGATCTGGAGCCGATGGTCAGTCGACGAGCTAGAAAGAGTCATTGGCTGTCAGCTAACGAACCAGCTCTAGGATGTCGTCGAAGACTGCCTGCTCCTCCCAGCCCGTCAAGTCCTTCCACGTCTGCCCAGACGCTCATCACAGAACAGGCGACATGGGCTGAGCCTTACATCGTCGTGATTTTCCCATTTCGAGTTCTCACTGTAGGAGCCTAGAAAGCTTGACAACAAGGTGTTTTGAAGCTCGTCTCGCATTTCTTTCTTCATCTCTTGAAGTTCTTTCATAGCTGAATTCACATCATCCTTCAAGGCTCTCAGGGGCACATTCATCCTCACAGACTTCCTGATGCTCTCGCACATGCTTGTGGTAGAAGTTGGTGTTGGGTTTGAGCAGCAGGTCGAGGTCGTAGACATCCGTCCTGTCACATCACTATCAAGACCGAGTTTTCGACATCTAACCAGTCACTTGTCGTAGCCATGCAAATGTCGTTTCTCCGACGCTGGAACTGTTATTGCAACCAGCAGATTCATCTCCCCTGTAGCCGATACTTCAGCCTGCAATGTCAACATGTGCTTGTTTCCACCTGTTGTTTTGGTCTCATCGCACTTCTGATGCCTGCATGCAACAGCTATCATGGCCCAAGAAACATGAAGGATAAGTCACTGTCACCATGGCAGATACTCCTTCTCATGTTTCGCGAGCTCCTCTGCCACTCGTTGTGCGGCTTTCGCGGCTTTTGCTGCCATCTTTCAGTTGCAAGACTGTTGTTCGAAAGTGAGCGAATGAAGGGTTGGAGATTCGCCGGTGTTGGGGACCGGGAGCCCGGCCGGGCAGCGCGGTCACAGTCACAGCGGCTGTAGAGGAGGAGCTTACTCGGTCACTGCTAGGAGGATGGGACGGTCAGCCAGCTTCCTGCATGTTCCTGTGCTGATCTAATTCCATTTCCCTTTCCCCATCACCTTTTTTTTGTTCATCTTGACTTTTTTCTTTAAATACCTCGAGGCGGGCCCAGGAGGTGTCCTGCTTTGTACCAGGAGGAGCATTGAGTAATGATGCGATTCTGGAATACGGTCATCCATCTTTCGTGGTTGCAGACAATTTGAAATCTCAAAACCATGGCATCTAGATAGGGGGTGGGGGTGTCAGTAGACCAGACTACCCCTTTTCAATTTGTAATCGTTATGTTCACCCGTAGTTTTGTCAGAGATAGGTAGGGGTAATTTTTCAATACAAATCAAGTTGGGGGGTGGGGTGAAGGAGTTGAGGGGGTGTCTAGAAGCTGTGGCAGACGGGGGAATGCAGAGGGCTAGGGAGAGGACAAGGAGGGGGGGGGGGGAGGAGGAGGAGGAGGACAGAGAGGAATGAAAGGATGCGACAAGAGAATGCAGGCAGAATGGAACTACTTCTATATCTTCACTGGCTAATGAAGCTCACCTGAGATCAAGGGCAAGAGCAAAAGGCCGTTGCTTTGAGATGGAGGGAGGACGAGAGGGGGAAATGGAGATAGGGTGAGGTGAAGGGTCTAATCAGAGGGCATTGGAAGAAATTCTGATATAGATATGCATTGAGGGAGAGTTGAAATGAGAATGCTCTTGCTCGTCCTGTTTGTCTATCCTCACATGGCTCCCCTCCAGGCGATCGGTCTCCGATGCTACCTTCAAGACTCCTTGCCACCATTGTGTTCTCCTTGGGGTGCTACCATGCTTGTGGTACTGCACCGACACCATGCTTCCAGCCAATCGCTAGCACCAGGAAAGCAAGAGGGTTGACCTGTCTGCGGTGTTGGAACACGCTCAGGGTAGCCTCGCTTCGTGGAGGGGCTCAACCGGAGAACGGGCAAGAAGACCCCGAGGTCTCATCCTACTTGACGCTCGTTGATCGTCATCCTTCGCTCTCTCACCCTCCTCTCGATGACAGGAGAACCACGATGAGCGGTTCAGTTACATCAAACAGGCATCCAGCTCCTCTGCACCTCGCCATGGTCAGTGAATGTTTTCTACAGGCTGAAATGGAGATGAAGAGAGCTGAAGAGAAGGCAGCCGCGAGAAGCAAGGAGTACGAGGTGCGAAGTAAAGTTGTCCACTGCCTTGCTCTGACTTGCCTGCAGGAATACATGGAAAGACGGAAGAAGTAACCTGCATGTGTAGTCTGGTCATCGACTGACCCCTCAATCAGAGGAGAGGGCAAGGCCGAGTATCCTGAGGAGGTGAAAGACACGCTGCGATGGGGAAAGGATGGTATCTCTCCTGCTTCTGCCTGCTGCTATGGTGTAAACACGAATTTTAGATGACAAGGGGAAGAAGGATGGGAGGTATCTCCCTCCCTCCCTCCCTCCCTCCCTCCCTCTCTTCCTACCTCTCTTCCTTCCTCCCTCCCTCTCTTCCTATTCCCCTCTCACCTTCTCACCCTCTCCCTTCCTCCTCCTACTCCCACCTTCCTACTTTCCTGCTGCCCGCCTGCCTCCCTTCTACTTCACTTCCTTCGTTCAACATATCTGAAATGTCTTCAAGACCAAACAAGAAAGATCGAGGAAGGGCTCCGAACGAGAAAACCCACAGGGTGAGCATGCCAGGTCAAACAAGCCAATGGCGAGCTGACGGTGTGCTGTGGAATCGAGCCAGCTCCCAGAAGTCAGTGAAGTGCCGGCAAAGAGACACAATGACGAAATTGTGTTCGAGCGAGAATTGAAAGAGGAAGGAAAGAGAAATGCTGCTGGCCGAAAATACGAGCCGGAGGCTGAGGAGGAGGTGATGGCTGATTTTGGTTTGTGTGCTGGTTGAATCGTTGGGCAGGAGGAGGAGGTTGAGAATCGAAACGAAGTGGAGGAGTGGCTCACAAATCATGGTCTTCCTCAATACGCCAAGGTTGTACATGTAGATGGCTATGGGGATGGTGATGTTGATGAAGATGGTTGTGGTGGTGGTGGTGATGATGACGATGATGATGATAATGATGATTGCAAGGTTGATGGAGATGATGGAATGGAGTGAAGTGATGATGCCAGGAAATTCAGTGTGCACTCAGATGACGTGACGTTGCAGGCGTTTGAGGAAGAGGGCTGGGACACGATGGACTCTGTTTACACGATGACGGAGGTGGGGAGGAGGGCGCGGGCAACGCCGCACGTGAGAACTTTCTCTTCCTACAGGCGGACATGTTGGACTTGGGCATGAAGAAAGGTCATGTGAGGAAGCTGATGCTTGCCATGGGGAGGTGAGAAGAACACTCTACAACAGTCTCCTCTGCTGGTACTGAGCTGGGCGGGTGGGGCAGAGAGCCGACTATCATGGAATCCATCCCTCGCAACATGCGCGGGGTCTCGTACGCCAGGTGATTCAGGTGCTGCTCGTCTACCTGGTGACGTGGCACTCCCAGAGGAAGG